AAAATAATCTAAGAAAATGATAAGTCTTAACAAACTAAGAGTAGTTTTATGTGACAAGGAGGCAGAAAGATGGGCTGGGATAGTAGCACATGGGAGATGTAGGTGCCTTGGGTTGGATACCACGTGCTTACATATTTAATATTATGAACACATGTGTAAATACATAAGGGCCATGCATGGGTTAATGATGAAAGTGTGTCATGAACCAAGGACTATGATTAATCCAATTCTCAGCACTGATCTCAGAAAGAAAGAGAGAGAGGGAGGGAGAGGAAGGAAGTGGGTAATGGAGATAGGTTTTCTTCCTCTCAGCCTCTGTCTTTCCTTCTTTCTGCCCTGCCTTCAGTCATTTCTTCCATGAACATCTATTGGCTGTCTGCTGCATACCTGGCATTAGGCTGGGTGCCAGCAGCACGGAGGTGAAACAGACACAGTTGTGCCCTTAGCAGAGCCACTGTCTGCTGCGGGAGTCTCACAGTTCCCAAAGGGTTTGCAAAGAGCAGTGACAGAAGGAAGACAACAAGCTGCTGTGGGGCTCCAAGAAAGGGGCCCTAACCCACAGGGGGAGGGGTACTGGGGAGGACCGTGTTGCTCTGAGAAATTAGTGAGATGGAAATGGAAGAGAAATTAGTGAGATGGAAATGGAGATGGGAGGAGGGAGTGCAAAAACTATAAAGATGAAAAAGACAGCTCAATCCTGGAAGTGCTCACATCTTGGGGGAGGAGAGGATGGCAAGAAAAGAGGCAGCAGCAACAGTGAAATGGGGACCCTGAGGTGGGGGGAACAGGTGGGAGGGCACACACAGGACAGTGGACCCTGAGCCCAGGGTGTCGGGAAGGCTTCCTGGAGCAGAGGGTGTGCAGACAGGCAGAGAACCGGAGTTATCTAGGCAAAATCTGTGCCAGGGGGCAAGGTCAGTGTGTTCGAAGGCTGGTGTCAGGGATGAAGCGTGGCTCAGGGGGTCTTGGTGTGGCTTGGCCCAGAGCAAAGGTGCAGGAAACTGAGGCTAGCACCAGATTCAGCTAAAAAGTGGGAAAACCATCCTGTGGGCCATTCTCTGAAAGGGGTGGCAGGGGTGACTTTGAGAAGACAGCTTTGGTTGCAGAGCAGAAGCGAGGAAACAGAGCTGTTAGGGAAGGAGACAGTGGTGCATAAGCTGCAGAGGGGCTTCCCAGATGGCACTAGGGGTAAAGAACCTGCCTGCCAATGCAGGAGACTTAAAAGACCTGGGTTCGATCCCTGGGTTGGGAAGATCCTCTGAAGGAGGGCATGGCAACTCACTGCAGTACTCTTGTCTGGAGAATCCTATGGACAGAGGAGCCTGACGGGCTACAGTCCATGGGATCGTGAAGAGTCAGACAATACTGAAGTGACTTAACACACAGGTAGGCACAAGCACTAGAGGGGACCAATCTCAGACAGGCCGTCCCACGCCATAGGTTAGGCTCAAATGAGGTTTCCTCTGAGGGAGGGCAGAAGACATGCCACCTGCACCCCGCATAGTCCTCCTCCCTGCCATACACCTCCTCAGAGCAAGTTTTTCCTCAACTTCTACTAAGTTACAGTTAATACTGAGGAGATCATATTTGCTGAAACCTAGATTCCAAGTCAGCTGGGAGAAAGAGGCAGGCAAATGGTGGGGTTCCCAGCTTTGTATTAAATGTGTTTAATTAATTAGTTTCTTTTTTGGTTGCTCTGGCTCTTGGTTGCTGCATGAGGGCTTTCTCTAGTTGCAGCAAGTGGGGGCTACTCTTCATTGTGGTGCACAGGCTTCTTATTGAGGTGGCTTCTCTAGTTGCAGAGCTTGGGCTCCAGGTGCAGGGGCTTTAGTAGTTGTGGCCCACAGGCTTAGTTGCTCTGCGGCATGAGGGATCTTCCCAGACCAGGGATCGAACCTGTGTTCCCTGCATTGCAGGTGGATTATTAAGTATTGGCAAAGTTCACAGCTTTGCATTATAAACAGCGATTCTGGACCCCTGACAGTAGCAGCCCCTCCATGGACCTTCTGCTCCAGGCCTGACTTTGCCTTAGCCCAAGAATTCCAAGAATGCTGCAGATCTTTGTCTACTGCTGAGAAGCAGAAGAAAAAGATTTATTGAGTACCTACTCTGTATGTAAATGCTATAACACATAACCATACTCAGGAAATTCTTCTGTCCCCATTTTATAGTGAAAAAGCTAAGACTCAAAGGGCCTGAAATAAAATTAAACCCAAAGGCTGCCTGGCCATACCCGTGAAATACGTGTTTTCTTTGGAGTGAGACTGGCTAGTTCTTCAAGGGTTTGTTTTTTGAATCGCCCTTGGGTAGTTAAGAACATCTTGCATGAGTTATCTATTGGTGCACAATAGATTACCCCTGAAAATGAACAGCTTAATACAATGAACATTTATTATTTTACAGTTTCCGTGGTCAGGAATCTGGGCACAGTGTAGTTGAGTTTCTCTGATTCAAAGTCTCCCATGAAATTGCAATCAAGGTGGCAGACAGGGCTGCCTTCTCATATGAAGGCCCAGCTAGGACTGGAGGGTGGGATGAGCTTCTATGCTCACTCGCACGGTTGTTGGCAGCCTCTGTCCCCACCACATGGGCCTCTCCACAAGGCTGCTTCAGCACACAGCAGGTGACTTCTTCCAGAGAGCTAATTCAAAAGAAAGAGAGAGCGAGTGAACATGCAAGAGACAGAGCATGCATGCTCAAAGCCGAAGTCACCATCTTTTATAACCTAATCTTGGCTGGGCCATCCATTACTTCCACATTATTCTCTTGGTAAAAGCAAGTCCATGAGGCCGGCCACACCTAAACGGAGTGGTTGCACAAGGGTATGAAACCAAGGGGCAGAGATTGCTGGAGACATCTTAGAGGCTGCTTACCTCAATGTGAAGACTTTTATTAAATAACAGCCAGGCTATTCTGACTTCTCCCAAAACGACAAGTCATTTTGCTTGGTATACAGGAACTGGAGTATTTTAGGGACACTTGGAGTGGTGTTGTGGCTACATCTTTGGGCCTAAGGCACATCTGGAGAGGTCAGCAAGTTGACTTTTTCCCTGGAGCCTCCAGGGAAAAATTAGTTTCTCAAACTGTGACCATTGTTCATTCCCTATCTTGCTTGAGGCTGTTGTGATATTTCCCAGCAAAGAGGGCAAGTGATGGGCATATCCCTCCCTCCCCCACCCTGTCAGCCAGACTAGGATCAGGTGGAGAAACCACTGAAAATCTTTCAATTCCCTTTGGCTTCTGTATCTTTTCCCCAAAATTTTCTTTTCTCACCCCTCATCTGTGTCCATAGCCTCCTCAGTAACTTGCAGAGTATGTGCTCCAGGAGTTTCCTGATGGGGGATAGAAAGGACTGCTGTGGAGAAACACCCCCCCCCCAAATACAGTAAATGTGAGTGCAGGTCAGAATGCCACTCAGGTCAATTCAAAGTACATTTATTCAACATCTGTTCTGGGCTGGGTATAGATAATTCAGACACGTATAAAAAGCATTCTTCCCCTTTGAAGAGGTTCACAACTTTAGGAGGGAGACACATACAAACAGGCAATGACAGAACAGTAGGATCAGTGTGATAAATACTTGATCAATACCCCCTTTGGCTGTCCCACCAATGGCTAACCTGGTTTGTGAAGCGTAGTCTTTTGCTTGGACTGTATCAGGAGTTCCAAGCTTGCTTTCCTCTATCCATTCACTCCGCTGAGAGATCTTTGGAGAATGTAAATCTGGCCTGTCCGACTCTTTTCGACCCCATGGACTGTAGCCTACCAGGCTCCTCTGTCCATGGGATTTTCCAGGCAAGAGTACTGGAGTGGGTTGCCATTTCCTTCTCCAGGGGATCTTCCCGACCCAGGGATCCAACCCGGGTCTCCAGCATTGCAGACAGATGCTTTACTGTCTGAACCACTAAAGGCCTCAAGTAATCTTGAGGAAAGATCAAACTCTAGTTGACTTCCAAGACCCTAGCCATTGTCCATCCCTCCAACCACATCTTAACTTATCGTTTACACTCCCGTACAAACCATAGACTCCATGCTGTGATAGGTACCTAGACAGATGACCACCCTGTGCCTCTGTCTCCAGGGCTAATTCATGTAGCCACCGCTACTAGGAAGCATTTCCAGATTGCCCTTCCTGAAAAAGGAGCCCCAGAGCTGCCATCTGTTTCTCTAGGCTGAGTTACCTCTTACTTGTCTCTGTCCCAGATAAGCCGGCACTGTGCACCTAGGCCGTTTGGTATCCGGTATAGAGAGGGCTGAGGTCAGAACAGATGATTGGGGAGTGAACTCAGCTCACCTCTGGGAGCACAAAAGGCACCCAGACCAGTAACTGTCAGTTTTCCAGAGAGAGCACAGATGGAACAGGCACCCTCCTGGCCTCCGCTCTGGCCACGCCCTCTTCCTCTGCTCCAGGCGGGCAATGGGGCGGCCCACCTTCAGTCCTGGCAGCAGGCAGAGTTGAAACACCTCTTTGCGCCGCGAGTGGTCGGGGGAAGCCTCCGAGAAGCAGGAGAGGTATGAAATTGGACTTTAGAAGATAAGCTGGAATCTGATCTTAAAAAAATAAAGTGTAGACACGCTCCTGAGGAAGAGGTCATTAAACCATGCTCTTTCCCCGGCTGCTATTTCCCACACAAGTTGGGTAAAGACAGCAAAGGTGCCGAATGATTGTGCGTGTCTCCTCCGGCTCTGGGGCACCCACCCTGGCGCTCCCGGCGCGCTTGAATGAATGGGGCGGGGGGCGCATGAATGAGTGCGTGAGTGAGGGAGTTCGCGGGCTAGCGAGCTGGTGAATGGCGACCGCGCCGACTCGGCACGCGGGCGCGGGCTCCACTTCCCTCTCCCGCCAGCTGGTGGCCTCGGAAAGGTGGCGGCGCCGGCAGCGGCCCGAGCTGGGACGGGCCGGGGCGCGGGATGGTGGGGGAAGGGGCGTTCCCGGCGGCCGCGCCTTCCGCGGCTATTGGATTAGTGGCCTTCAGGGATGAGCTCAGCCGGATCGGCTTTCAGCTGCAGCCTCTGGGCCGGCCGGGAAGGCGGGGAGCGGGCGGCGGCGGAGGAGGAGGGGGAGGCGGCGGCGGCGGCGGCGGCGGCGGCGGCGGCTGCAGCATCCAGAGCTGGCCGCGGCGGTCGGCGCGTCCGGCGCACAAAGACGCCCAGCCCCTTGGGGAGGGCGATGAGCGCACCGTAGCCCGGACCCGGGCCCCAGCTTCGAACACCAATGCGCGCGCCCAGGGCGAGGGGGAAGACGCCGGGCGCGCTAGGGGCGGGCGGCAGAGGCGCGGCCCGTGCGCCTTGAGCTCGGGACTCGCCGCCCTCCAGGTCCAGCGCGGAGCTTAGGAACCGCTGGAGCGCGGGCCTTGGCGCGCCCCCGGGATCCGCGCAGAAAGACGCTTTCCCACTCCCACCCGACCCCCTGCGCCCTCCCGCCGCGTTGGAGCGCCAACTTCCCCAAGAACGCTCCAACTCCGGGCCACCCTGCCGGGCAGAGGGGGCGCTGCTGCGGGGCTCGAGCCGTGAGGACGCGCCTCTGGCCCCTGGGAACAAGCCGGCATCTTCGGGGTCGTTCGGGCGCCCCTGAGCGGGTGGCAGCGGCCGCAGACGTCTCTCCTCGGAGTCCAGGACCTGCCAGCGCTGGCGATTCCTCCAGGGCAGGCGCTTGCCCTCTCTTTTATGGTGAGTATTCTCCATCTTCTGGTAAGGGGTGCGCGGGAGCCGAGGTCTGGCCGCGCGGACCTGGTGCGGGCCGGCACCGGCCACAGTCCGCGCTCCTGGCGTGGGTCCGGTCCAGATCCCCGGGAATTCCTCTCTGCGGGCTGTGGCAATCCGAGCTGGTTGGTTTGCCTTTAGGCGTTTGGGGCCGGCCCCTGGTGTCATAGGTTCGAAGCCCGCTGCTTTTCTGCGTAATGGAGACACCACAAAAAAACTAACCCCCCCGCCCCCGCCCCAGTCACCCTTCTTGGGTTTAGGTCCCTGATCTGTCATTCACTGAATGAGTGACCTTGGGCAAGACGCCAAACCTCCGTTTCCTCATCCGTAGGATGGGGATGATAATGGTACCCTTTTAATAGGGCTCTTAGTAGCATCTATGGGGTGGTCCTCGTAACGTACGTAGACCTGTTCCTGACACATAAGAACCACTCGATCAAACGTTAGCCAGCTTATTATTAGCTGTACGAACCCAAGCGTGTCATCCAACTTTCCGGAGCTGCTGCCGTTCTTTCGTCGATGTATTGGGGACAGTAATTTCCAGGAGTCTGTTCGTCCGGGTTGGGAGGCGGGGGGAGTTCAGAGCGATGGAAGTCAAGCGCCTGGCACGCAGTGGGCACTGGTGAAATGGGGGCTGTTGTTACTGTTTACTCTTGACGCTGGATAGTGAGGCTGGTCGCCCGGTCCGAGCGCTGCTTGGGGCCAGCTCCTGGCCTTGCTTGGAGACAAACTTGGCGATGCTTTGGAAGGGAGGGGGTCGCGTGCAGTGTGAGTCACGAGCAGGGGAGGGGGGTGGGGTCTGGGAAGAAGGGAGGAGGCCAGAGCCTTGAGCGCGGCAATTGTGTCCGCCTTGGTAGCGCAAGACGCTCCACGGGCTCGAGCCAGGAGGGGACGCCGAGCCCAGGACCTCTCCCTGAAGGGAGAAGAGTGGTTGGGGGGAGGTGGGGGAGTGGCCGCTCCCGCCTCCGGGATGGAGGAGCATGGGCTGTTGCGGACTGGCAGAGAGAGGAGGGCACTTCTGGGCTGCTAGCGCTAGGAGATGGAGAGCTCTCGGCTCTGGAGTAAGGCTTGAATTCGAATTCCGCCTCCACCACCAGCCCGCAGTGTGACCTTGGACAAGTACTCTAATCTTTCCCAGCTCAGTTTCCTAGTCTGCCCCAGCCTCCTCCTGGGGGAGTTTAGGGGTTGAAGGTAGGAGTTCTCTCCTCTCTAGGAATCAGAGCCACCATCCTCCATGCACCTTCCGTCTCCCTGCAATCGATGAGCATAAATCAGGAAGACGTGCCTGAGCTTGGGGGAAACGCTATTAAAAGGAGAATACAGGAGCTGCCCGCCCCTCCCCCCTCCAGGCGGTCATTGCACCTAAGGAAGAAGCGCCCCTGCAACACATCTCTCCGGCCTCTCCCTCTCTTTCCCCCTTGATGCCCCTCTCCTCCAACTCAATTCTGCAGTCTCTGTCACTGAGACTGATGGGGGATCCCTGTTCATCCTCCACAACTCCATTTTTCAAGAAGTGCTGCTGATTAATGGAGTTTGTAGAAAGACACCGTGTTGGTAGCTTGATACAAAGATGTTTGCCACAAGACACCATCCTCCTGAGATACATAACCCTCTGATAGATTCCATTTTACAAACTTCCTTTAAAAGTACCAATAAAAGGAATTTAAGCCACCTTGGGCCAACAACAAACAAAACCATTTTAGTAAAATATCTCTCCAGTCTGTATTTCTTTCTATTTTGCTTAAAAGACTGGTAAACTTAGTTATATGAGAAGAAAATCTACAGGGACATCACCAGAAACAATGAAAAGATCTATAAGAAACTGGGAGAATGGTCACTCCTGTCACAAAGGGCTCATCTCTTTAATGTGTAAAAATGTTTTCAAGTCAACAAGAAAAAGACCATTCACTGTTCACATGCACAAAGTAAAACTGAAATAACAAGCATATGACAAGTTGCTCTACCTCACTCAATAAGAAAAATTCAAGTTCAAACTACAAGACAATTTTCAAATATCACATTAGCAAATAATAATCATTTATCAGAAACATCTTTTAAAAATATAAGATAGATCAAATCCCTCCTAGTCTTAGAATTTCCTCGAGGCTGCCCAGGAGTAAGATTAAAGTGCCTCCAAAGACCTACAGGTCTGGTTCCTGCCCCCTTTCACCCCTTTCTCACTGTTTTCCTCTCTTATTAACTTCCACCCCCTGACCTTTTGGGCTTTGCTCCAACACTTCAAAGACTTTTTCCTTGGCTTTTATCAAACCTGGCTCCTCCTCACTTGGACAGGCCTGTCCTTGGGGAGCTTCACTTCCACTCCAGAAAGTAGCCAAGACCTGGGCCAGTACTGAATTCCCCTCCTCTTTGGGAAAAGATCTAGTTCCATTCACCCTACAGGGGCTACTTGATTCTCCCCAAGAGAATGATGCCTGATGTGGTTACATAGCCAGGTTCTTCAAGGGTCCCTTCTTTGTTGGTACAGGAAGGAAGGGTCTCAGGCAACCTTGCAGCTAGAACAGGCCACTGGGTGCAGAAAATCAGGGGGTGTGGAGGTACCTGAAGCAAAGTTACCAGACGTCTCTGCCTCAGAGTCATTTAAAAAACTAAATACATAAGTGCATACACACAACTTATGTGAACATAACCATACATACTTTGGCAAGAAAGATCAACAATAAGAAATAAAATAGCAATACATTTGGTTTATTTTTTAAATTACTTATTATTTATTTTTGGCTGCCCTGTCTTTGTTGCTTTGCGCGGGCTTTCTCTAGTTGCAGAGAGTGGGGGCCACTCTTGGTATGGTACATGGGCTTCTCACTGCAGTGGCTTCTCTTGTTGCAAAGCGCAGGTTCTAGATGTGCTGGCTTCAGTAGTTGTGGCACACAGGCTTAGTGGCTCCCTGGCATCTCTTCCCCAACTAGAGCTCCAACCTGTGTCCCCCACATTGGCAGGTGGATTCCTATCCACTGCACCACCAGGGAAGTCCTTTATTTTTTTAATATTTATTTATTTATTTGACACCGGTTCTTAGTTGCAGCATGTGGAATCTTAGTTCCCTAACCAGGGACTGAACCCCAGTACCCTGCATTAGGAGCTCAAAATCTTAACCATTGGACCACCAGGGAAGTCGCCAGCAACACATTTTAAATAAAATATTTTGAATAAAATATGGTCCATAAATAAAGCTCACAGGGGGTATCTGTTCTGAAGCTGTAGGAAAAAGTCATCTCTGTAGAGTCCTTTGGGAGAGAGGATCGAAGACCCAAATCAGGTGTGGTGAACCTTCCTCAGAAGAACTTTCCTGGGCGGTGTGGGCTGCGTGTGATTTTTTTGCTATACATATTGAGTTAATCCCCACTTAAAATGTGTACTTTAATCATGAGAGAACAATGTTTGTTGTTAAAAAGGCAAACTGTACAAGAGGTGTGGAGTGGAAGTTTCTTCTTCAGTCCAATGCAGCCAGAGGTAGCAGGTGCTGGTAGGAGGTAGGCTGGGTGGGCGGGCGCTGGCCTTGCCAGCAAGAAACAGAGCCCATGGTACAGAAGACAGCTGGGGGTGCAGGATGAGGCCACAGGGCAATGGAGGAATGCCACAGAGGGTACCCAGCCCCACTTGGAAGTATGAGGAGGCCAGGGGAGGTGAGAAGGCTCCCAGGTGAAAGGATGGTCAGGATAGGGTTTATGAGAGGAGTCTACTGTGACTGCTGTGACGGGGGCTGTGCTGGTAGACTGGTATGGGAGAAATAAGCAAGGACAGGTCTTGGGGATTCTTAAGTACCCAGGAAAGGAGTACAGCTTCTCCCTGGTGAAGCCACCTGGAGAGCTGAACAAAAGGTGAGTGGATGCCTCGGTCAGATTTACCCTGTGGCAGCATGGATAGTGGCTTGGGGGACCACCGGGAGACCCGTGTAGTAATCCAGGCAAGATCTGAACTGAGGGAGAGCCAAAGGCATGGAAGGAGCCCGAGGGACAGGGAGATCCCCGGCAGAAAAGAGGCCATGCAGAGAGGAACCTGGTTTGCCAGAGAAGGAAGAGGCTGCTTTCAGTCCTGGGCGTGTAGATTCTGAGGTGCCTGCAGCCCCTAAGCCGCCATGTCTGCTAGCTATCTAGAATGGGTGGGCGTGCCCACGGGGAAAGAGACCCCCTGGCTTTACAGCGTCGTTTGAAGGAGCAGCTAGTCTGGGGTGATCTGGGGTGGCCAGAGGCTTCCGAGTAGGTGGGTCTGGTGCTGAGGAGAGAGAGCAGGGCTGGAGACCCAGTTTGAGAGAATCCGCAGAGGGCTCGGAATGCCAATCACGAGAGAAGAGGCACGCAGAGAGGGAGCAGCAGTACTGAAGAGGCAGCAGTGGGGAGCCCCATTTATGAGGCAGGCCAGGTGCACCCTGGAGCAGAAAGGCTGCAGGAAACTGCCTGGAGCTCTGCACCTCCATGCGCTGGTGTGCACAGGAGGGGCCCAGAGCCGCTCCCAAGTCCTCCACCTGGCTTTCAGGGATGTGAAAAGTCACTGATGGGTGAGCCTGGAGCTCTGCCTTCTCCAGAAACCAGTCTGTGGCTTTGTCCACAGAAACGTCTCACCCATCAGCCACATTTTGTGAGATGCCATGTCACATGGCTTCCTGGGGCCGAGGTGGCTCCCTGCTCCCTAGGCTCCGTCTCTTCTCTCTCTCTCTGGGTCTCCCTGTCTCCCCACTTCCTTCCATCCCCTCTGCCTCTCTAGTCGCTCCCCCTCACCCTCAGTATCTCAAAAATGCTCCCAGAAAAAAGAAAAAAAAATTTTTTTAAAAATGCTCCCAGAGACACCTGAAGCTTAACAGAAGAACCTTCAGGAATTCCGGCAGGTACCTATTATGACCTCCTAGACCAAGCCTGAGGCATACACAGTTTCCATTTTCATTCAGGCACTGAGATTTCAGACAATCAAGTGAGCAAAGTTTCGGTTAGGGAGATAAATGACAGGCTAGACTTGAAGGTCACTGT